TTATTAAATACATTGTGTGGCATACTTTTATATTATTCGAATATTGTAATGCATGGATAAACAATTACACGAAACATCTTTTTTCTTTATGTATTCGTATAATTTTTTTGGGATGTAATACATATTATATATTATACGTTTTTTTTAAGATTTCCTAATCGAGATCAAGATCTAAAAGAGAAGTGGATTGCAGTCATTCGTAAGAGTAGAAATGAACCATTGTGGCAACCAGCTTCCCGCAGCGTGGTTTGTTCGACTCATTTTCAGAGCGACGATTTGTACTACACAACAAAAGGGTTACGTCGTGTAAAACAAAATGCATATCCAAAGGTATTTTTTTTACTATTATTATGGTTACTTAGATTAATTTATATTTTAAAGATTCCAATAATTTATTTGCTAACTGCTTATTGTTTGTACAAGTCCCACCATCTATCATGTTGTGGTAGAACTACTTGCTTCAGTTTCCCCATTTTGCCGTATTATGCTACTAAATTAAAGCGAACTTACTTGAATTAAGTATCATTGTTCATTAAAAGTATTAGTACAATAGTAAAAATAATGTTAATTTGGTACTTAGCTAATTTTAAACTCATCCTTGACCGCAACTGTGCACACTAGAAAAATGCCTCATCTAATGTGCACACCGTTTTAAGATGCATCTACTTTTTAATGGCCTTTTTGACCCAAAATTCGCGATGTTTGTGGATTTATTTTATTATGTTCTTGTATAGGAACTAGTGATTATATTTTGTGTATTCTATAGAAAATTTTATGTACATTTTAATAAAAGAAACTGTTTATCAACATTTGCATATGCTTTTCGTTTTATCGACATAAAGTTGAGATGACTGATTTGGTAGCGATTTCAAGTGCCTTGTTGCGAGTGCTTGAAACTATAAAATGTACAAACCTATTCCATCCGAGACTTGTAACTAAAGTAAAATAAACAATCCAACATAATTAAACGTCAACACATAAATCAAGGCACTTGGATCTCGCATTTGTTTTTATCAACACTTGAAACACGACCCTTTTTTTCTGTTGCGTGTTATATTTTATAATTATATTTGGTAAGTTATTATATACATTCATTTATATATAGTACATTCTATATGTACAAAAACCTGGATTTATAATTTACAAATTTTGAAAATATACCTCATTTTACCTATTTAAACGACTTTTTTTATCTTTCCTGAGTTTACCATAATGTAATTAAAATAAATTATAGACATGACGCATTGTGTACACACTGTTTTATTGAAAATTTTATGGAGAATCCAAATATACGTTTGTGAAGGGTATTTTTACAAAATAACAGAGAAATCTGCAGAACAATGCAATCGTTCCCACCCACGGGCGGGCAGTCCATAAAGAAGTCCGGCACTTGTAGGTGAGAACGGCGCATGACCTTTGGCTCACGAGAGGTTTAGAGAATAAGCTTACGATATTTTTTTCTAATATTTTATAACGTTATTAATAACGTTATGGAATAACGTTATTACATTTTTCTAATATTGGGGTGTTTTATATGACTATGGTAACACTGGCTAATGCACTACATACATAAAAAACCGGCTTCACTTTTTGGTTCGGCAGACTCCGTCTTTACTTTTTATTTGGTCTGAGTACACAACAAAGACACATAAAAACTTACTGATTAAACGTTAATCCTGGTGTTCTATTGTAGGTAGCACTTTCACATCGATACGCACTGTACTTGACCATAGTAATTGAATAATCTCGTTTTGTAATATAGTTTCATCAAAGCAATATTCTTAATAAACACCGAAAAGTCGCCTGTCCGATAAGTCATGAATAAAATGGCGGCGAGGAATAAAAATGACACGACATTTGTTGATGTGTGAGTCATTGTGGCAATAGATGGAAGAATGAGATGCCACTATAGAGTTGTAGCTGAGTGTAAAAAGGATAAAAGATCATGTTTTGATTCATAAATATAACTAGGTTTTTATGTTCCGTCTGCTATAGTATTATATGTCTGTGGTGTATACTAGGTTCTGCTTAATAGTATCTCGATTTCATCATATGTTTTAGCTGTTAACCATTTTATCAGTAGATCTTTGCATTGATAATAAATTTTATCATATACATAAATATATTTATTAATGGTGTTGTATATGTGTATAGATCGACTATTGAACTGACTGCTAGCAAATAAAGTGTTGGTTCTAGGAACACGTATAATAATGTCTTTTCTTCTCCTTTTTACCCGGCTGCGCAATGCAAGAGCGCGAAGCGCGACGCGCAGACAGGGTTATGTGTTTAACAGTCTATATATGTATGTTTGTTCCTTTGTGGCACACTAGAGACCAAACGCCTGGACCGATTATGATGATTCATATATCAATCGATTCGTCTCAATCATGGGAGTGCTACTAAAGATATGATAGTAATCAAAATTCAGTATGGGCAAAATTAGGCGCCATATTGTGACGAAGTAAAAAAAATAAGTTGACAAAATATGTCGAGTGGGGTATTACTGTCTAGATAATCAAAAATCATATTTAGGTTCCTAACACCATTTTTCATTTTATATGATTGTTTAGGATCTAAAACGCTTTAAAGTTGTATATTAACCACTTACGCTTTTAATTTCAATCTTACGTTTGTATGGATTTTTGTTGCTCTTTCACCTAAAAAATACTGAATGGATTTTAATGAAACTTAACAGTAATATAGCTCATATATGATAATTACATATATATAATAATTTATGTAGTTATTGAGTGAATTGGCCAATATATAACAATAAGTGTCACATAAGACGGAAAAAAAACTCCCATTTGCGAGCCATTTTGTGCAGGCCGCACTGCAAAAATAATAAAAGTTACATGAATGTAATGTAGAGTGAAAATGTATCCCTTAAATAGTTCTAAAAAAAATCCGTGACACCATATATCTATTTTTAATGTGTAAGTCATTACCGCTAAAATAGTGAATCAAAACTAAAATATTATTTGATATCTATTTCCAAAATGCACATTTTGTATTAACAAATCATGTTTTATCAAAACAAATACTTTTATCGCTTTTGATATTTAAAAATGATAAACTTTGCTTTTTACAGTATGTCATTTCGACAAATATTTAAAAAGTTACAACGATGACAAAGTGATAGCGCGGTGTACTATGTAAAAGAAAAAAAATGGGGTATTCGCAGTATCAGATCCTATACGAAGTACTAACAATAAAACTGTGATACAGTTCCTTTTTATTGAATGATGAAAAATATATTATCATAATAGGTATTTATGATTATTGAATTTTAATGAAAAACTCAGAATTTTACTGTTTTTCATTTGGAATCCCTGCATTTATTAATCAGCTCGCGATAATATCGGTTTTGTAATTATTCTGCAAAATTAAAAGTAAATAATGTAGATTTTTATAGGTAAATCACCCCTTTCATCACCTTACACCTATAAGTATTGCGATGTTGTAGCTAAGAACCAAGTTCCCATGTACTTCTATATGGGAATTCATTATATTCGATTTAGCTATTAGGGCACGGAAGCGCAACAAACAAACTCACTTTCGCATCTATAATATTATATTATACTTACTAGTGATCCACCCGGGCATTGTACGGGCGAAATTTATTTATCGGGATAAAATATAGCCTATGTCACTCGGACTAAATGTATTTAAATAAAGAAAAATGTTATAATAAATAATGTAGCTACCTTATGATGAATTAATATTTGAAACCGGTTCAGTAGTTTGACAGATTATTTGTTATAAACATACAAATCTTGCCTCTTTATAATATTAGTATAGATAGTAAGGATAAGATAAGTATTTAATTGATGAAAAAGATTTAAAAATAAAGTAAGTAATAGGTTTATTTGATTATATTTGTAAAAGTTACTTAGCATTTGTGCTTAACAGTGATACGTTATTCGGTATTTTTATAACAAAAAAAATTGGAAATAATTGCCATGATTGCACTACTGGGAGTACTCTTCATTCGAGCTTTACACTACCAATAAAAAAGGGTCGAACACAAAGTCTTTGACCTGTTAAATGTGAACGCTTTAAAAGAAAACTACAAAGAGAACTATAAATTGATAATAAATGAGATTGTTATGGTGCTCTACCTAACGTTATGAAAATTTTATTTTGCGCCTTTATTTTAATCAAATATTATAAACTTTGCTTTGGTGATTGCATAATTATTTAATTTAGTGATCGAAGGCAATTGCCACCATTGTCCAAAACAACAGACGTGAGTTACTGCTTTCTTCAACCTGTGACATAAACGTCATTGATTGGTATTGTATATAGGGTGATAAAAAATATTTGAAGTTAACTTCTGGCATCTACATATTGGCTTTCTGTGAATTATGTAGGTATATCAAATTATGAGACTAGGGACTGACACTGAATTTGTGTATATCACAATCTTAGACGTCCGGCATTGACATGACAATGCAGCCACTGCCAATTTTAAATAGTCGACGAATAAAAGTAAATGAATTTTATATTTACTGCTGACTATTAAAAAAAACATAAACAAAAGATGACTTTTTGAGTAAGTGCTGGTTTACTATAAAATTTACATACATTAGAGATATTTATGTAACGACTTGATTTAACTTCACACATTTTTGCGAAAATTGCGGCCCATCTGTAGCCTTGACCCCGCGGGTAAAGTCTTCATATGTCTTAATAAATCAATCTTTTAGACCGACGCAAGGTACTTAATAATTCCCGCGATATTAATTCCCTTACTGAAGTAACAAGACTACGTTATATACCGTCTTAAAATACTAACTAAAAAGTGTGAAATAAAAAAGGTAAATTTAAAAAATCAAAAAACCCGACTGCTTAATTATATTTCAAATAAAAACTGAAAAGAAAAAAACAAGTCCAGTAGTCTATAATTCTGTTAATAAGGAACAAAGCTACTTTAACAGTCGGGACCCACTGTTAAAAAATATTATGTATTCTTGAATATCTAATGGGTCCCGACTGTTAAAATAGCTTTGTTCCTTATTAACAGAATTATAGACTACTGGACTTGTTTTTTTCTTTTCAGTTTTTATTTGAAGTATAATTAAGCAGTCGGGTTTTTTGATTTTTTAAATTTACCTTTTTTTTGAAATCTTAGGGTCATACGTTAGAGACATATGTTTTTTTAGAATAATATGAACTATGTACAGCTTCCTTACAGATAATAAATTGCTAATTTTGTAGAGGCACTCAGTAGAAAATCGCCTTTTTTTAAAATACATGACCTTAAAGAGACTTCGCTGAGCGCGCTCAACATCAATAAAACGCATAATGTCAATATAGATTGGGCCAACGAAACAAATTTCTTTAAGGAGATCTCTTACCGAACCACAATCACCCTTATCCTTTTTTGGGACTGGTACTATATACCTGAGTGTCTTGAAAATCCAAGTAAGCTTTCTGAGTCTTAAAGTTACATGTTCTAAATGCTGATACCAAGATAATCTCTGATCCACATAGACATCCAAATATTTAACATTCTCAACCTTTTGAAGAACCGGACAGTTACAATTAACTCCATCTATTATAAAATTACAGCCATGTATCTTTAAACAAAAATCATTGTTTGGTTGTCCGTCATTATATAGACTGAATCAGATATTTGTTTTAGCAGTGTTGAGTGTAAGAAAATTATTACGTAACCACTTGCTTATCTGTTTCAAGTCGCTCTCGGTTGTTTCCCTTACAGCATCCCAAGAGTCTGCACTAAAAACAATGGCAGTGTCATCAGCGTACGACAAAATTTTTGCATCCTTAATGTTCATGGCACAAAGATCATTGATATAAATAAGGAATAATGTAGGTCCAAGGACACTTCCCTGAGGCACTCCATATGTCACTGCTGCGTCATCACTAGTGAAGGAATCTAACTTTGTCTTTTGCCACCTATCCGACAAGTAATCTTTGAACAATTCAAGAGAAACTCCCTTCAGTCCGATCGCTTCCAGTTTTCTCACCAGAATAGGTATAGAGACAGTGTCAAAAGCTTTTTGTAAATCCAAAAATACTGAAATATTTTTTTTATGAGCATCGAGCTGCTCAGTTACTAACGATGTAAGTGCCAAAACTGCATCTTCAGTTGATTTCCCTCGCCTGAAGCCAAACTGAGATGGTGATAAGATGTCAAATTGATTTAGATAGCTAAGCAGCCTCGTATTTAACAGTTTTTCTATAATTTTAGAAATTACAGGTAACACAGAAATTAGTCTGTAATTATTAACACTGTCTCTATCCCCAGCCTTATAAACTGGACTGATTATTGACCGTTTCAGTACCGACGGGAAAGTCCCCTTATTAAAACACAGATTAGCAAAATGAGTTATAATTGGAACAATATATGATCTTGCGTATTTGATAAAACTGGTTGGAATACCGTCCCATCCCGGGGCACTGCTATATTTTAAGGACTGTATTATATCACTCACCTCACCATGATCACTGTCCATAAGAACAAAGGAGTTACACTGTTTTGGTAAGTTACTCAAATAGCTACTACTTTCCACATCTGAGGGCCGAATTTGATGCGCCAAGTTTTTACCAATATTTACAAAGAAATCATTAATATAATTAGCAGACGCTGCAGGAGTAGATTTAATATTAAGTAAATCAGAGTTTATTTTATTAATTTTACTTGTATATGTGATGTTTCTCCACAGCAACTTATTATCATTAATAGATTTATTCAATAATTCTCTCTCATACTGGCGTTTGATTTTTTTAAGAAGAGCATTACAATAATTTCTGTATCTTGTATAAATAATTTTATTTGTTTCATTAAAAGGATCATCTTTGTAATGTAAATTGGGATTTCTTCTTTCCACTCATTTAATTAAAATTTTACAATGGATTCTTGCGAAATTGTACATAGGTACAGTTTGTCTATAAAGTCGTGACATTAAATGATGGCGCCACTAGTATGCATGTAGAAACCCTATACAGTCGGACCAAAATGATTTTGATACTAGCAGTTCATTGAAGTAAAATAGGTAATTAAGACACACTATACAGTCGTATTTTGTTTCTGTTTTATATATAGTAGGTACCTATGCTTATAAAAAGTTTACCAAGCATATTTTTTTGAAACAGAATAAAATTATTATAGATAAAATAGTACTTTATAGTGTACAAGTGTGTAATGTTGGTGATTACCGCTGAGGTGCCATTGAGACTAGAGCCGTTAGGTAATCATCAATACACACAAGTATCATCATACGACGTTTTTTAACACACTTGTTAAGAAAATATTACTAAAAATCATTTTATAGAATATAAAAAGTTTATTTAGAGAAACAATTTGTAAATGTGCAGTTAGTAAAATTAGTTATAGGTATCTTCACTAAAAGCATCTGGCTATGGTTCTTTATGTGACCATTTCTTTCTTTGGTCGGCCTTGCCTGTTTTCCCATTCTTAAAACCTTCGTTGACTATCCGACTCTCTGATTTTCCTGCAAAAAAGAAAAAAAAAGGTAACGGAATAGAAACAATAACTTATTGACATGAAGCAATTAATTCAAAATTGGTAGAAAACCTGACAGAGTTGAATCATAATAACGTATCAAAAGAAATGGTCGTACTACAATATTACCTATTTACAATGTCAATGTAACCTAAAAATGTGCAATGTAAACAATGCCTTTTTTGATCTCAAAATCGTAAATTGAGTAAATTTGTAACTTCAGGCAGATTACCAAAACATAGTTACACGATTACATACCCGTAATAGATGCTGTTCGCCCATAAACATCATCCAACTCCCACAAAATTCGTCCAGCTTGGTAGTCTTCGAAACATCGCTGGAAAACTTTAAAAATCACTTCCCGCGTGCCACTCCGATTTACTTTACTCATTTTAATACCTTTCTGCGTAGTTTCGTCTTAATTTATTACAGTTTAATCCAAACAATAAAAAACACAAAAGGAAAACTGTTCCACAACTGAAACTCGATGACAGCTGATGTACATAAGTTTGGTGTTGCCAGACACATGAATAATGTTAGTTCCTCAAACATTCATGTCACGAATTTATAGACAAACTGTACGTACATCACTCTCGAGCACGCAACGGGGACTAAAGGCGTGGTTGAGGCCATTGTCACTACTCACTGTCACATACGTTTAATTTTTTCGAGCACTCTCGCGTACTTTTTTCCTGTCCAGTCCCTCGGTGTCCGTGGTAGTTCGGGGAACTTTTGTCCGCGGTATTTTTAACCCGTCTTGTGCGTTACAAAAGCGCATCCGCGCAGGCTATATGCACGACTCAAAATTTTAGAACTTTTTTTCCTTGCCATTGTTTATGGTCATTTTATCTACTTTTTTTCATTGTGGTATGTTACTATTATGGTCACTATAGATACTTAATTTTTGTTGATTAAAACTACAATGATTTTATTTCCAGATATATTTTTATTTAATTGCTAATTTCTTAAGGATTCCTAAGGATCAGAAACAGCCATTTTAAAAATACATTGATAAAGATTAAGAAATGACTTTTATTTGATAATTTACATATACTACGGTACAAACAGGTAGTCTACCGGTAAGACTACGGTAGGCAGTGGTAGGTAGGCTACGTCAGGGCCGGATTTAAAGGTGTGGGGGCCCTGTGGAGTCCAAGAATTGAAAATAGTGGCTTATTTTCAAACCTGGAACCGCGGACCACTTACAATTTGCAGTTTTTTCTTTACTTTTATTGTACTCACAATTTCGAGAAGAGGATTCGATCTCGGTCGATTTATCTAATCTCGGGATTATCTAGAGTTAATCCCGGGATTGTATTGGTAATTGAAAGTGGTAACAAAAAGACCGTAAATCATATCTATTTTTTTTTTAATTTAAATCTTTAGTTGTAGAATATTTTTTTAGTTTAAGTAACTAGGCACTTCTGTAAATAATTTATGAAATAGTTTCATAAATTATTTACAAAATTGCCTTGTTTCCTTAGTTTATTTTACAACAAACTTTAAAGAAAACAGCTTCTTAAGACTTGTTTAGATATACTATAAAAAAGACTATAGGTCCTTCATAATTTTGGCCCGTTGAGGAAGATGCCTTAGCAGAATCTACTTTCACGGAATGTTTTGAAGATAGATGAGTATGTACGCCTTTGGTTGATCCTCCTAAGGTCTTTATAGTAGCTAATCAACGCTTACATTGTGCTTAGTTACCCGATTTATCGACTAAAAATAACTCAATCGTGGGAGAGCCACGCAGTAGCTTAGGCTACTGCATGAATGGGCCGGCTCGACCGGAGGAATACCACGACCTCACAGAATACCGGCGTGAAGCAGTACTTTGTGCTGTGTTTCGCCGAGTAAGTGAGGCTACCGGATGCCCAACCCCCCTCCCCCCTTTCCTCATGATGGCCCAGTTAAATAGGATAATACCCCAGGGGGGTACCAGCTGTTTTCACACTGGAGAATCCCCCTCTGGACGTCCATGCCCAGAACTGTCTCCTTCTGGACGTGGACGTCGAGGCTGCCCTTCGTATTCTGGGGAGGGCGAAACCGCGCTCATTACCGAAACTGCTCGAGGCCAGAGCAAGCGTCATACGACACCCCCTGCCATGTTTAACGTGGATTTCTGCAACATCAGGGGCTTACACTCCAACCTAAATGCTGTTCACTACCACCTTCAGACAGTGCAGCCGGCCTTGCTTTTTTTGACTGAGACGCAGATATCCTCTCCAGACGACACCTCCTACCTCCAGTACCCTGGGTATACTTTGGAACATTCCTTTGTACCACGGGCTGGGGTATGTGTGTACGTTAAAGAGGGTATCAGTTTCCGTCGCCTCAGCAACTTTGAAGGTAGGGACCTCTCCATCTTATGGTTGCGTGTAGACGTCGATGACCATCCCCGCGTCGACGCCTGCCTCTACAGGTCCCATAGCGGAAATACCGAAATTGACCGACTCTATGATCACGTCCAGGTGGCTACAGACTCCGTGCTTCAGCAGATCCCATCATCTGAAATTGTGATCCTTGGCGATTTCAATGCCCACCAATCCGAATGGCTTGGATCGCCCACTACCGATCATGCAGGCAGATCTCTTCACGACTTCGCCTTGGCCTTGGTCTGACACAACTGGTCACCTCGCCTACGCGAATCCCAGATGTCGAAGACTATACACCTTCACTGTTGGACCTTCTGCTGACTTCACATTCGGATAATTACAAAGTGTCCATAGATGCCCCTCTTGGCTCCTCGGACCATTGTCTAATCCGGAGTATGGTGCCACTCACTTACTCACCGCGGCCGCAATTTGCTGGCTGTCGTCGTGTGTGGCACTATATGTCAGCAGACTGGGATGGGATGCGCACTTTCTTTTCATCCTACCCTTGGGGCCAGGTTTGCTTCTCGCAGAATGATCCCAACGTCGCTGCCGATTCTGTCGCCGATGTTGTCCTTCAGGGTATGGAACTTTTTGTTCCTTCCTCTGTGGTTCCCATTGGTGGAAAAACCCAGCCTTGGTTTGGTCACTACTGTAAACTGGCATCTCGCCAAAAACAGATGTGTTATCAGGCCTGGGCAAACGCAGCGGCGGTCGGGAATAACAACACTAGCGATCTCAAAAAGAAGTATAACTTGGCCTCCAGGTCCTGCAAAAGAGTAATTGCCAGAGCGAAGTCGGAGCACATTAGCAGCATTGGCGAGAGATTAATAAAACTTCCCTCTGGAACACGCGCGTTTTGGTCTCTTGCCAAGGCTGTTGAAGGAAATTTCTGTAAGCCATCCCTTCCACCCCTGCACAATGGCGACGAATCAATGGCCCATACTGCAAAAGAGAAAGCGGATCTTTTATGCTCACTCTTTGCGTCCAACACGACTCTAAATGACAGGGGATACATACCGCCGACCATCCCACGGTGTGAGAGCTCTATGCCGGAGATCCGGTTCACACAAAGCTTAGTGCGTAAAGCACTCTTTTCCCTTGTCATCCACAAGTCGAGCGGGCCTGATGGAATCTCACCAATTGTGCTGAAGACGTGTGCTCCTGAGTTGGCTCCGGTACTAACGCGTCTTTTCCGGCTCTCCTACTCTTTAGATGTCGATCCGAACTTATGGAAGACAGCTTTAGTGCACCCGATTCCTAAAAAAGGCGACCGCTCACTCCCTACTAATTATAGGCCTATAGCCATCACCTCCTTGTTCTCCAAGATAATGGAGTCCATTATAAATTGCCAGCTCCTGCGGTACCTAGAGGACCATCAACTGATCAGTGACCACCAGTACGGTTTCCGTCAGAGTCGCTCGGCTGGTGATCTACTAGTATACCTGACTCATCGTTGGGCAAAGGCGATCGAGACCAAGGGGGAAGCATTGGCTTTCTTCTTATGGGCTTCCTGAAAAGCTGTGCGTTTGGATCACTAGCTTTCTTGCGGACAGGAGCATCAAGATCGCAGTCGACGGTGCATGCTCGGACTCCAAATCCGTAAACGCTGGTGTTCCACAAGGCTGTGTGCTATCGCCTACGCTGTTTCTTCTTCATATCAATGATATGCTTCAAATTGATGGCATTCATTGCTATGCAGACGACAGCACGGGTGATGCCCTATATACCGGCCGCGCCAACATTTCACGGGAAAACGTCATCGAGTGCCGGAACAAACTTGTGTCTGAAGTCGAAACTTTGTTAAACCGAGTAACGAATTGGGGCCGACTTAATCTAGTCCAATTTAACCCTACGAAGACACAAGTATGCGCGTTCACCGCAAAAAAATACCATTTGTCGTATCTCCTCTTTTTGAGAACACTCCTCTAACTGCCTCAGCTAGTATTGGAATTCTTGGCGTTGAAATATCGAGCGACGTCCAGTTTCGGGATCATTTAGAGGGCAAGGCCAAATTGGCCTCTAAGAAGCTTGGTGTGCTCAATAGATCGAGAATGTACTTTACACCGGCCCACCGACTGCAGCTTTATAAGGCACAGGTTCGGCCTCACATGGAGTACTGCTCTCATCTTTGGGCGGGGGCACCCCAGTACCAGCTTCTCCCTTTGGATCGCATCCAGCGCCGAGCGGCTCGAATCGTCGACGACCAGGACCTTTCCGATCAGCTTGATCCTTTGGCTTTGCGTAGGGATGTAGCTTCACTCTGCATCTTCTATCGCATTTATCACGGGGAGTGTTCTGAGGAATTGTTCGGATTAATTCCAGCTGCTGCATTTCGCCATCGTACATCGCGACAAAAATTTCATCCCCATCATCTTGATGCGTGACTATCCACAACCGTGCGTTTTTGTCGAAATTTTTTACCTCGTACGACAAAACTGTGGAATATGTTGTCGCCAGCAGTGTTTCCGGACCAATACGACCCAAGAACCTTCAAAAAAAGAGCGTACTCCTTCCTTAAAGGCCGGCATCGCATTTGTGATACTCCTGGTGTTGCAAGTGTCCATGGGCGACGGTGATCACTTACCATCAGGTGAGCCGTCTGCTCGTATGCCCCCTATAACATAAAAAAAAAAACTCCTCACTGACGAAACATCTTCATCTTTTTTATGCTTGTCATCAAAACTTCTTTGGATAATGAAATTGTTTACTTCTTAAACCTAAACCAAAATGAAAAGAACATTTAAGTCTATGCACAACATAAACATAACCTCTTAGAGCTATAGAAAATAACACTCGTCGTTAGTCATCTATATTTACTCAGACACATTAATGCGTTGGTTGTTTTTTAATAAATTCATTGATTATCACCATTTAACTAAAAAAACTTACACAAAGTGAAGCGGAATTTTTACACACTTTTACACATAATCCGGTACCGGTCGTTGGCAAAAATAATTGAAGATAGCTGTGTAAATAAGATGACCGTCCAAGACAAGTAAGCGCGTTTCACGCACATTTTTATTGACTTATATAAAAATATAGCAATCCCGAAAATCCCGGGGTTCATTACATTTAATCCCGAAAATTTCGGGACTAAAATATGACCGGGATCGAATCCTCTAATTGTGGGCCACAGCCCGCCTTGCCTTTAATCCTGGGCTACGTAGCATTAATTCAACTATAGTTATGACGCTTAGGCGGGTCCCAAAGCAAAGAACGTGAATGTATAATACTTACATCTTAACTAATACAAGCTTGTTCTGCTTATATCATTATAAATGTAAAAAGCCTTTGTAAACAAAGCAAAATGATTTGACAGCTGGTCTTGAACCGCTGGCGCCATCTACACTGAGCTTGTTACTGCGTAAAAGGTTGTTTTTGCAGCATGCCTCATACAGTGCCACCAAGATGTTAAGGCGCTTTTATGACACTGACAGGAGGGCGCTGCTGGTGAATAAGTGATGAAATGAGGATAACAAAGTACGTAAAATCTCCTCAGTAAAGGGAAATATACAATTTACAATATCTTGGAAAGAGTAACAACATGACATATAAAAGGCTTATTTATACCTTTCTAAAATTAGTCCGAATTCTGCCACGCGCTACAAGATCTGTATAATACAGGTACCTATGCGTGGACTTCGGAGGATGCCCTAGTAAACTCGGAAAGAATCGGTAATTTCGCCCTAATATTCACTTCCGTAAGTCGATTTCGATCAAAGTTAAAAATATTCCCGTGTTAGGTACAAGATTCTACGAAGCGCATAAATAATACATAAAGAGACTTTTTACTACTTATAAATTTTCAAGTGTTTTCTAACAAGTTCAAACGCAATAAACATTATTTGTCTATCTTCTTCATTTCGCCTAAACTTGTGAAGAAGTTTTTCTTTGCAGCAGTTGATACTATTTTACTATCGTGAAATTCGTGGCTATGAAGGTTTTTTCTGCAATAACAAAAATTGACATATTATTTAATTAGGTTAGGGAGTCCAAGGTAGGTAGGGTTGTAAGCGGACACACAGGCTCAGTGAGATTAACATTGGCCAAACATCGATGTCGAAGAGCTACTATCTTCTAAAGTGTATAAATGTCTGTCTTTCTATCTGTTATCTCTTCACGCTTAAACCGCAAAACCGATTGAGATGCAATTTGGTATAGAGATAGTTTTGAGTTCTGTGTAAGGACATAGGATAGTTTTTATCCCAGAAATCATCCTTTAAATGGGTGGAAGTTTATATGACCCGCAACCCCAGACGACGAGCGCGATCTCAGAAAACCGCTTCTAATATACTTCAGAAAATTGTTGTAATTACAAACAGCCAGCACGATTTATATGTGTCAGTGACTAACCATCCTAACGTCAGGACCAATGGCCACCGAAATCGTAACGTGTTAAAAATGTCACATGAGTTTTGTTTGGTTGAAAAGAGAGATCGAAGGCCTCTGATAAGGTTGTCTCACTGGTTCTCCTTTTCCATAGATAGCTTTCGCTATTTTTTTTTTCTTTACTGTGGCTTAACAAGGTTTTATCTCGACTGATTCCTTTGCTTGCCGTTTGGAAAGTACAAAAGGAAGAAAATTTTAACGTTACTTCACGCCGTAATGTTTCCATTTCAAGACGTAATCTTATTTAATATTGAATAATCTTAAAAGATTATCAATAATTTTTAATGCAAGAGACGGTAGTTTGCCGTGGAGATGGCTGTCGGCTTGTTCGTTTAATTTCTTTGAAAAACTTTGCTTGTTTTTTGTACTATAGAATATTTAATATATATTGGACCATGCAATAACTGTTTGTCATTGCAAGGAAGCGAGGCCACTTCTTTCAAATACATTCAACTCATAACAAAGATGCAGCGAGGATAGTGAGTGCATGTAAATTAATTATAACAAGGAATTTATTCAGTAAGAGAAAATTATTCCATATGTGAAATTCAGGTAAAGATTATAAATATAAGATGATAATTAGAACTAGCTTCCAAATTCAAGAAAAATCATTGGCAAATAGTTAGAAATTTCAGTATATATAGACAACCCAAAGTGAGTTTAGATTTTCTATCATCCCCCTTGCGATTAATAGTTCAATGCTCTTCCGGCGAGTCTATCGAGGTAGGTCTGGCGCCCGAGTGTTTTTTTTTAATTTTATTTCGATATATCCATATTGCTTCAAAACACAATTTGGTTTTCCCACTTTAAAATACATTTTTAATTTTTTTAATGAGACAAAATGTTACGATGATTGTATAATTTAGGGAAGGGAAGGAAATAGGAAGCAATGCAATTCTTGGCCACTTTTTTAACGCTAATACTACTAGCGATTTTATCTTGATTTCTTTCGTCTTATATTAATTATCTTGACGCAACCGAATTAATTATACAAATAATTATATAATTTTGCTACCAGGGCGCTCCTGCCACCACCACGCTATGCCGCTACATATTTGTTAAATAGGTCATAATAAGTACAATTGCAGTCCAGTTGATATTACCTACTAATGATGATCTCATCACGTGTATCAACATAGGCAGGACAGTGTTTTCTACGATAGTCAATGCACCGCCATCGTCGGTTACAGCCATTATTTGATTGATGATGCAGATTATAAACATAACGGTTTAATATCATCTTTATAGAACCCCTTATAGATGTCGTATAAAAAGGTTGAGATTTTTCTGAAAAATAAGAAAGGATTAAGCTGTTGAGCACCATATTTAAAAAATAAAAATCAGTTATTAATCTGAAAAATTCATTTTTATAGTAGGGGAAGCCCAAGCGGGGATTTTTGGATTTACTTAAACACAACAGAATAACATAAGGGGTTCAACCTAATGTTGTCTTGTATATGAAAATAGTAATGAGTGTGAATGAAACGAAAGATGTGTGTACAGACTGAGACTTAAGGTTCTCTGGTCTCTCTGTCTAACCCACCTAGGACATAGCCTGAAGATAGATAATCTAAAAATGGTGAGAATTGCCATATTGGTATCATTAATTTACTCTTGCTTTTTGATCTTAAAATCAGGCTCCAGGACTCCACAGGATAGGGGAAACGGCCAGTGTAGACAACAGACAAGTGATACTCTGATATCTATACACTGATCGGTCCTTCCTATCCCACTTCAACATTAATTCTTAAATATAAACAAATATATTAAGTAGGAGAAAGTAAGTAGCTATACCTGGTGTTTTTACTTGTTCCTGAGATTCTTCAACAGGGGAATATGTATGTTGCACTGGAGTGTTACTATCCTGGGTATCCCCCACTGTAGTTAGATTAATCAGATTTGTATTAACTTGCCCCACAGGATCTACATGATTACTTAAATATACATTTTCACATGCAGGGTACAAACTTTCATGACAGATAGGCTCATCAGGGTTTGTAATTACATTTCTCTTTGGTGAACTTTCTAAATAATTTTCCTGTATAATATTAGTACCTCGGCTACTGTATAAATTCTCTGTGAAATTATTTTCATGTTCCATATTTACAACAACCTCATTAGTTTCATCTGATCTTAAAAAAACAAGACACATTGCTTAAGTCATCAAGTAAATGTTTTTTCTACCCCTATCGAATTTAGGTTATAACCAATTTTTATCATTCCATACACAAAAAAATAGAACCCTAAAAAAATAGAAAAAATTAGATCAGTTTGTTGTCTATCCATCTGTCGAATGACCAATTTTCCCAGAAACATATTGCACATACGGTGCGATAACTTCACTTATGCAAATGATGTAATATTTTAAGAGAAACGTTTGAAAATTCAACATCCTATCACAACATATAGATCTTCTTGACTAAAAAAATAAAATGATAAGATTGAAATTACAACTTTAAACTTCGTTTTAAAGTAAAAGCAAACATCTGACTAATTAATATAAAAAAAATTCTACCCTCACAAAAGTGACATTATGGCACTAGAAAACAATTAACCGGACACAAATAAATATGGTCAAAATTAGTCAGAAGGGAATCAACGCACATAGGGTACTTCTTGTTGACCAAGAAAATTAATCTGTAATTGATATACTTCAATAATTCCTAAAATGATTGCATTATTTTCGTACCTACAAGTTAACATCTCATTTTTTAATTCTACTCATGTAGCATATTAAACTACTTGACCGTCACTGAAAGCTTTATATTGAGATAGCACTTCCGTTTCCCGTCGAATTACCATCACTTTTATTCACCTTGTATCCGGTCCAGTGGCGACACCTGGCAGAAGCACGGCCATTTTTGTTTTCCTAAGTTTTGACAGCGCCATATTAACTCATTGGCGTTCTGACTCCCGTCGAAGCAACACGTGCTCAATCTGAGCGATCGTTGTGAGATTTTAAAGGTTTTATTATTATTAAGTGTTAAAACTGTAAGTAAACATATTTTATTTTAACGGTTTTTGGCGTTCGTGTAAATAGGTACTTTACGTGTTAAAAGTGAAGGAACCGTAAGTAAAACTATTATTCTTTTTGATAGTTTTTGCAGCCCTTGTGATAAGGGATATTTAAAACAAATATGTTAAATTGTGCAATACCCTTGTTTAAAAAAGTAATAATAAGCCGTGAGTAAAACTTGACGGTCATTCAAGGTGCGTTTTGTTTAAAAAAATAAAGTACCTACATTAAAGTAAATTTTGCAATACTTTACGACTGTCTTGGTCGTTTATAATAAGAACTATGATATAAGAATGTTTCCGTATAAGTAAGTGTGAAAGTAAATTCGTAAATGTATTACAAAATACTTACTTAATTAAATTATTTTACCGTTTAGAGTGAAGGAACATCGGTCAATATTGATGTTTCTGCCGCCGACTGACTGGCATTAGTGGCAAAAACAGCAAGATGTGTGGATCTAGTCATAATAAAATGTTCTTCGAACAGCTGCAGTAATAATTGGTTGAATTTGTCGTCTTCTGGTATAACGAAAGCGGCATCGTTGCCTCAAGAAAAGTAAGCGAGCTTGATATTCCAGCCCTTTTATTAAAAGATTGTTCGAGGGGTAAGTGAACTATGTACAATCTTAATAAGGTATTTCTAATGTCGATGTGCCGTTTTCTGAACATGGCCAGCTATCAATATCAAAAGGCTTATGAATAAAAAGTTCTAACATTTTTACTGACCAATACACGTAATAAAAATTGTCATGTGAGTCGTGTGACTAAACTAGGATAAAGGAACGCTCTGTTCGATAGACATTCAACGTTTATTTTAAATGATATGCTGATGTAAATTGAAAATTATAATCATAGTCCAGGCTTTATCAACCGGGAAACAAACAACGAGGTAAAGAAGTATGATGATAATTTATAGCAATTGCATATTTCTAAAATAAAAATGAATTATTGCGGGAAGCCACCTGCTCAGTTAATTTTAATAACGAAAGTGATAAGATAACAGAATCGTTTCTTAGGTCTTTTACAGCTAGTGAGGGCATAAAGCTAAAAAGTAAAAACTAAAGCACTGCTTAAGAAGTTAGTGATCTCTGTGATGAAGCACCACTTAATAAGATACCATCTAATCACCCATAATGATTCAGAGCTTTTGAGGTTGTTTTTCTCGTATTAAGTAAGTATTTATCATGGATTTAAGTGATTGACATTTCATCAACCTAATGAGCAACTCACGCAGAGAGAGGCAAGTGATATTCATAAGCTTCAACTTATGAAGCCCAAGGCGTGTCAGGACATGCCCTCCCATGGCTTACCTACACATATGAGTACCGGTGGCAAATCACCCTCGCGGGGTGCAAAATATATATAATTTGTTTCCACTACGTGGAATTTTATGAAATGCCTCTAATGCCTTGCCTACATATACGAGTACCGGAAGCAAATCACCCTCGCGGGATGAATATTATATACAATTTGTTTCCACTACGTGGAACCTTATGAAATGCCTCTAATGGCTTGCCTACATATACGGGTACCGGTAGCAAATCACCCTCGCGGGGTGCATATTATATACAATTTGTTTCCACTACGTGAAACCTTATAAAATACCTCTAATGCCTTGCTTACATATGCGAGTACCGGTAGCAAACCACCCTCGCGGGGTGCATATTACCAAAACTCTAATGACCGCCCCTCGCGGGGGGCATATTATGTATAATTTGCTTCCACCGTATGGAACTCATTATGAATAAGGACTTGCCTTCCATGGCTTGTCTACACATACAAGTATCGGTAATAAAACATCGTTGATAGAGGAATATCCTCATCAATCTGATAATCGCCCTTGTGGGGTCATATCACACATAATATATTATTTCCATTACGTGAAGTTCAATATATGTTCTCCTTCGAACATGTTCGCTTATGGAGTTCGTACTATTATGTAAGCACCGGTAACATACGACACTCGAGTGGAGCAAATTATGCATAATTTAACATATAGTCTATTCGTGATTCATAATTTATTTTTGTGACCATGGGGTCTGTAAAAGTGTAAACGATTCGAAACATTAAAAATAAGTAAATTGAAAATATAATAAATCGAATGTTGACGTACCCCGTTGTGAAGTGCAATGTACGTGGTTTTTAAGGTGTCGCATACTCCGAGGTCTTGGGTTCACCCCGGTGCGTGGGGCAAATCATTGTATGATAAAAACGAGCATCTGTGCCTAAGTCTTGGTTGTTAACAAATATTAATTCAAAATCATACTAATCTATGTATCATCATTATGCATTTCTATGTGTTAGCCCATAACACAAGCCTTTCAATGCCTATTATTATGAGGCTAGGCTAATTGGTGTGAAGTGTTGACTCGATCACTACGGTTTTTCTACCGTAATATAGTTATCGACGACGTGCTGTAATGTAATACATTTCAAAAGAAAAAGGAATATCGAAACAATTAATGTTTGAAAAAATTTAGTGCAGGACAGTTAATAAATTGGGACCACCACAAATAATAGGTATTTAATGGTATCGCATGCCATTCAAAAGCTTGTTTATCTAAATTAGAGATGTAACGACTCGACTTTTCAAACCGGTTTGAGTATGGACCGAGCTGAATCGGTTAACGTCTTCGTAAACCGGTTCTACCGTGGCATTCGTTCGTATCGCGCTGCGCCCATCGCGCCTGTCAATTCTTGTTTATGCCGCCATCCACAAATCGCGTGCGGCTCCTGACGTGCTTTACCGACCCTAATAAAACTTGACCGACCAATACGAACCGACTTACAGCAGAGGATACGGTTAGCGCGCATCGTCAATTTAAATACAACAGCCATAACCGACTTACCGACCGAACCGAAATGAAACGGACTCTGGTAGATTTGACTGACTTGACGGTGTAATTTTGTTTTCATTATTATGTAATATGCGACGTAATTGCCCAGCTTCTAAAAAAATAGACCAAATATTATTCCTAAATAGTTGTAAGAAAACTTTTTAATTAAGTTGTTTGTACCAAATTAAGTTTCTATTACTCAAATGATTTTACAAAAATAAGTTACGTATTTATTATATTGTTGATTATTAAAATTGTATTTTATTCTCAAAGTTAAGAAGTACGGTTTTATATAATTAATAGAGTTTATATATTTTTTTGTAATTTTTTAAACACGGTATTACATAGATATTTGTTTATTTTTATTTTGACATTTTTAATTCTGATGATTATTATTTGTTTTCATATTTTGATTGTTATTTCTCAATTACCTTTAAATGTTTGCACGATATATCAACAAAATATGTAGAATTAAGAAAAAATAGCACCTGTTGTTTCGTAAGTTTCATTCGTCAACTCGTCAAACGGTTCAAACCGGTTCAAACCGGTTCAAACCGCGGTTTACTGAAAATTTGGCGGTTCGGTTCTACCGATCAAATCCGGTTGGTCAAAATTCAAGACCGTAACATCACTAATCTAAATCCAATATATATCAAACTCCAATCTCAAGTGCAGTACACTATAAATACACACATTAAAAGTGTCTAGGGATCAACATATATTTTTGCAATAACTTTTCTCCTGATTGATATTAATTAAAATTTTCTTTAAGGATTCATCAAATAAAGTGTTTTCGTTTGTCACAGTAACGATAAACCAAGTCACCTTTGCATTAATAAAGAAAGCCATTTTCCTAATAAAGGGATTTTTGACATTTGAACCACTAACACAAAAGTTCGAAAAAAAGACTGAAATAACAGTTTTCTCTAAAATTTTATTGGGTAACTTAAACAATTAATAATCCGTATTTCTACCGCGAACACTAACAACACAAGAACATCGGTTTGGCATACTCAAAATGAGTTCATCCAAATCACGCTGTGGAATGGCCGCCCATGTTCGTTGCAACAACAAAAAAAGGTCTTCTTGCGACTGGATACCCTCCATATTCGGCAGAGCTCTTCTCTGTAGCATATCCCATGCATGCTCAACCGGGTTCAAGTCTGGCGACTGAGCAGGCCAGGGCAGGACATTGATGTTAGCTGCGGCGAGAGTCTGTCTTACAACTCTTGCGGTGTGCGGTCGTGCATTATCATGCATTAACTGAAATAAGGGACCGA